CTGAGAATAGGCAGGATGGTTTGTGTGTAGGAGAGGTACTAGTCTGCCACTGGAGTGCTGAAAGTAAACTGTCAGTGCTAAATACAAGTACATGGTACAGCAGGCACCTATCAGGAATATGAAATGGTGGGTTCACATACTCTAGTTGTGGTCCAGCAGACTTAAAAACGTTTTCTTCCTAGAGTTCCTCTTTAATGTAAATACAAAATGGTGTACTGAACACATACATGGGTGTGGGCAGCCGTTCTGTGAGCCATCCAAAATCTGATAAAAATGCAGTCAGTTAGCAACAACCTTGAAGTTTTGCCCTAAAATGTACTGGCATCTGATATCGCAGAGTGGCTGTGTATCAGCATAATAGTAGCTGAGTACAGAACAACATGGGCGCTTTTAAAGAGATCATTTGTATGGCTAAGCCTAAGGGTACAAAACAGTTGGCTTTGCTACTGAGGGATTTAACTATTTGTGCCCATCTCCTTAGCAGCAGATAGATCCCATTGTGCTGCAAAAGAGGCAACGGCTAACAAGCAGGTAAAGCTCGCAGCAGCCAAATACAATCACTTGTGTAGTGCCAGCTTCTTCATACTAAATATCTGTAACCGTCATAAGAGGCTGGCTCTTGTTCGCAGGGTACTGCCAACAGTAGAAGCGCCCACTCCTGCCCAGCTTCAAGTTGGCCATCTTGCTCAATTCTGGTGACTCGTGACTAACCCGGTACACTTGAGACATTTGGCAAGCCTGCCGCACTCATGGCCCGTATGAGGAACAATGGAAAACAATGACATAATAGGAGAACAAGCAGCTTGTAAATGTAACTTGGTGCACGCTATGGACAACACAAGCTCAGTCTAAGATTTTCAAGAATGCTAGAATATTGCTGGCAAATTCACCCCTCATGTAGTACATGCTGCTACTATGGTGCAGTTGTTGAGGGAGGGCAGATCTAGCTTAACTTTTAGGTATGTGGCTTGTTTTACAGTGATATTAAAAGGCAATTTTCATTTTAAAATGACAAACATGTTCTACGTATCTGCTCTGTGTAATGGTTTTGCACAGAGAAGCCCCAGTCCGCCTCATCTCAGGTCCCCCGCCAGGGCTACTGCCCCTCCCTCCTGCTCAGTGCCCCCAGAGCAAGCAGCTTTCTAAAGGGGAACCCAAGCAGGCTGCCAACTGCCCTGCATGTCCACTTACACACAGAGCCATGGCTCAGCCCTATCTTCTCTCACCTCATTGGATCACTGGCTGTGATTGACAGCAGTGGGAACCAATGGCCAAAGAGGAAGGAGAGTCCCTGACTAGCCAAGGCTCTCGCGCACGTTGCTGGATCACACTAGGCCTCAGGTAAGTATTAGGGGGGAATAGGGGGCCTGCTGCAAAACAAAAGGTTTTTTGTATTTTTTACCTTCTTGCATAGAATGCATGAAGGTAAAAAAACCTTGAGCCTTTACACCCACTTTAAGCTAGGCATAGACAAAAATACGGCTGGTTCAGCAAAGACCGTCCGAATTGTGATCTGTGCTTGGCCCTCCCTGTTTGACAGAAGTCGAACGTCAGATCAACTTCTGTAGAATGGTTAGCACTGGAAAATGTTGGTCAAATGGCAGCTGCAGCCATCAATCAGTGTATTCTGACAGCAACAGGAGCTGCTGTCAGAATACAATGTCCCAATGCTTGTGTGGGTGGAAGAATATGTATCCTTTTTTTTTTTTTTTTTTTTTTTTTTTTTTTAAATAAAAACCACTCACCATCTATGGTCAGCTTAAGTCACTGCTGACAGCAAGGAAGGGCCATAGCAAACTTCATAGAAATCCTGAAGAGAAGAAAGCAAGCTGCATTCTCATCAGCTGACTGAGCTCACAGAGCGGTTACCTCAACTGTATGAAAGTAATAGGTGCACTTACAAAAAAACTGGTTCCTTTATCATGGAGCCCACTTATGTACCGTAATTGGGTTGCCCCTAATATTAGAGCCTAGCTCAAACAAGTACGTATACAATGTATCATGCTTTTCCATGTACATTGGATTGACAATTTATCGTACCGCTATACTGTAATCATGTAAACTAAAAAAGAGGCAACAGCTATAAGGCAAATTGTAATTTAAAGTGCACCTGTGCACTATGGACACGTTATTACATATTATTAAGCAGTAAGAGAGCTTAAAACATCAACAATTTCTCATGCTCCTTGTACTGTGACAATCATCCTGAACAGCCCTCCAAGATCTCAACTGAGACTCTGAAAAGGTAGTTTCTAGAATACAAGTACCTGGTATTTGTTTACATCAGAAGGCAAGATTTTGCTTCTATAGAAAATAAAAGAGGGATAGAAAACGGTTTTATCTCCTCTGTTGTAAACTTTAAGGATGAATTTCTCCACATGCCTACAGCTAGAGGTGAATGAGGGTTTTTAAATAGCTTTCACTGCCTGTTTATAATATGACAATACTTTAATGTACACAGGAAAGCAGGCATGGTGAAAGGCTTGTGCATACCTCCAATAAAATGTTCTGGAAGCCTTTGGACCAGGGGCTCAATATGGAAATACCAACTGCTAGTCTAGAAATCAAAGCTCTGTCGTGTATCCACCTCTTCAATGTGAGCCTCTTTCTTGGTTTGGTTATAGAAGATTACAGTTTTGCATGGAGGAAGAGTGTGCATACAGAAAGGGTGCTATGCCTGCTTTCCAACCATCGTGCTAGCTGTTCTAGTCTAGCATTAGTATAGGTGTACTTTAAAGGCTCAAACTGCCCATAAACATACCAGCTTGCTTGTTTTGCCTCAAGTCAGGCTGCCTGCAAGACATGGCTCAGTACCCAAAATGTGTATGGGATTCTTTGCTGCTCATTTACATTTATTGAACAGGCCTGAGAAGGTAATGGGGAGAGAAGCTAAAGGGAGCAGAGCAAAAGAGGCAGCGCCAGCTAACAATGGTGATCAGGTCCCTACCAATTTGATACAGTTTACCCCCCCGACAGCAGTCAACCAGCCCTCTTTGTAGGCACTGACGGACATGATATTAATGTCTTTATCTAGGATGAACTTTTTCTTCACCATCTAAAATTGCTGCTTTTTATAACATCTTGTCAAGAAAAGGCTCCTCTGTGCCCAGCCTGAGATCACTTGCACTTTTCTATGGAGGCCTAGACTTGGAGCATAAGCCCCACCAACCTCCCCCATGTCCAATAAGAGTGCCTTGCTGGCCAATGAGTGGGCACCCCAAGTAGAGGCTTCCATAGCAAAGAGTACGTAATCTCAGATGGGGCAGAGAATGCTTTTCCAGATACCAGTGGGCAAGTTGTTGTACTTGCTTTTAGGCAACAATTTTAGTTTAAAGTGTTACTAAACCCAGAACAGTAAAATCAGTCTGTATATGCAGTAAAGCATGCTTGTTATATTTACTGTGGAACTTAAGGGGTTAATCCTCCGTATTGTGTAAAAAGGCAGTTTGAGCCTATCTTCTCTGATTATCCCCTTCTTTCACAGTCCCCAATCCATCTGTAGATAATACAGAGCCCTAGGAGGCATTCTGCAAAAGTTCAATTTGGTGTAGTGCGGGTGCATGTGATCAGCGCAGGGCCAATCAGCACTGTCCAGACAGAGGTCAAGGGTCATGCAGCCTCATAGCACAGTCGGAGGAGAACAAAAACTCCTCCTACAAGCTTTAACGAGTGTACAGCCAAACACTGACAGAAGTCAGAAGCCTGCTACATAGTGCTGATGAGAAAAGGTATTTAGCAGTTTATATTTACTAAAATAATTGCATTTCCATGTTCTGTGTACTGTGGGAGATCAGATATAGTGAATGCAGGGTCCTGGGTTTAGTAACACTTTAAAACAGAAGAACAAAAAGTTCTCCAATAAAACTATTACACTCCAAAATAATTTAGTTAATGCTGGTGGGGGAAACAAAATGATGCCTTTCGGGTCTCCATGATCCTTGCCACCATCAACAGGTCTTACAAGGATTAGCAATCTCATCACAATACACCTGCCAGTACCTTCCACAATATAAAAAATGGAGACTACAACAACCAGAGTGTGACAACCTCAAAAAACTAAAGACAGGTGATATGCAAAGGACAGAAACAGATAACGCTCTCTGAAATATTCCCTGGGGATACATACACATCGACCATCATCCAAGATTGTTAGTTGCTAGAGGGTTTGGAAAATAAAGAAAGGATAGAATGTTTTGCATACGCTTCTAGATCAAACATGGTGCAATTGTATATCTAAAGCCAAAACTTTTCTTTTCAACTTTGGTGGAGCAGGGAATGCTTAAAACTGAAGATTTTGGGTGTCCTAATGGGGAGATTACACTTTACCTGCAGTCTCAGGACACAAAAGAGACCGGGACACCCTTGCTTACTCCTTTAACCAAAACAAGAAAAAAAAAGTTTGGTGTTTTAGATACACTTTACATTTAGTGGTAAGCAATTTTAAAATACAAACATTAAAACAGACATACTCACTATTACAGTAAAACATGGCTAAATGGATATCATCTCTCAGGATAAAACCGCAAAGACCTTTACTGCCTTTTCAAACGACACACAACAATCAAAACAACTGCCAATGCTGTTGGCGTGCAAAAATATTTTTCTGGATCACACTATGCTCTGGATGCTTATCTTTACATCACAGTATACATGGTGCTTGTGATTTTAGCAAAAGAAAGGCACAATTAAGCAGTTTAATACAGTACCTGAATTGAAAAAAATGGTTTTAAAAGTTAAAACAAAAAAAATACAAGTATACATTAAGCTTCTTTTTAGCTGCAATTAGAATGAAAATGAATGGACCATTTGTCAGCTCTGTTTGGCCCGATTATGTAGATACCTGCCCAGTGATGGTTCTGAGACATAGGTAAGGATTATTACAAAGCTATTGAGTTTCCCCCATAAAAAAGTCATAAGGGGAGAAGCAGGTCTTCTCAGAGGAACTTAACCCTTTCTTCAAGGGTTCCCTTTATGCTGTCTGTACTAGAAGGAAACTACTATCATTGGAGCCCCAAACACGTAAACATGTAGGGGACAAAGAATATGACTGAAAATCCAACCACCCCATAGGTAAGGTATCTGTACGGGAGTTCCACCTCCATTCTTTGCCTTGCTTTTCGGATATCATCACAAGGAATACCAAAGACTTTGCAAGCCAACGGGATGGTGACCATCTTCATGACCGCTCTCACAGGTAACAAAATGACTAATCCGACAAAGACCCGTAGCAAGGCCTTTCCAAGCAGGTTCACAGTGATAGCTGGAATTGTAAAAGGCATTGAAGAAGGCAAAGGTTCTGCCATGAGGCCCAGCATGTAACTGACGTGGGACCCGCAAGCGACTCCAGCTCCGCTGCCGAGAATCTCCGCCGTGTCTCCCCGGGAGGTGCTCCATGTGTCAAGTGTAAAGGAGAAGATACCAAGAGCTAGGTGTAGGCTGATGATGATGAGGGGGGGGAATACTTATAAGTAAGGTTGAAATTGTCAATAAGGTCCAGAGCAGGCAGGAAGACTATTAAAATGATAATTGCATAAAAGACGCCAGCTACAACATCCTGTGGGGGGGGGGAAAAAAAAAAAAAAAACTTAGTAAACATTCCTAAACCGTAAACTCCAAGCAGATAAAAACAAATTTATCACAGTATGTATTAATCAAGTGTAAGTACCCGAATTTTAATTGATATAAACCTGTTGTAAATATCTACACAACAGAACCCCGACTGGGAGAGGGAGAAGCAGCACAATGGAACCAATCAGTTGTGCCAATAGGAGAACAGAAAAGAGGGTCAGTGATTAGTGTATCAGTCTGCTGCTTCTCCTTTATTGTCCAGACACAAGCTGAGGGCAAGCACAAAACCTAATTGTATTACTTAAAGCAGAACTTTATCAATAACTTGATAAATAATGTTCTTTAGCAAGAAACATACATTCCACAATAATAATTATGCTGCCAAAACTAGTGTGTGCTGTAAATTGCCTCCAGCATTGTTCCAGTTTCTTCTTGCTGGAGGCTGCCATGTACTGAAGACCAGGGCCCCAAAGCAGCAGTAAATCTTTAGGCTGTCAACAGATCAGCCTCTACATTTTTTGCACAGTGCCAAAAAATGGAGAGCAACTGAGCATGTGCAGGGGAGTGAGAGCGTATTACTGGATTTTGAACTGTATAGGCACTTATTTTTAATGTTTTACATAGTTATACCTGCAGAAGGAGCCAGCATGAAGGGATCTAGACAGACCTAAATTTTCTGAGTAGAGTTCTACTTCAAGGCTGAAGTTGAATCTGCTTATATAAAGAATTCTTTGGTTCATCCCTCTCCCATATATATATATATATATATATATATATATATATATATATATATATATATATATATATATATATATATATATATATATATATATATATATATATATATATATATATATATATATATATATATATATATGCGCGCATGCACCTAGTGGGAAGTGATCAAATAAAAACCTGCTTTCATTATATACCTATTTTTAAATCCAGTGATGTCATCACTAGATTTCTGCACTTCTCTATGCAATCCAGGCAGATCATGGTTGGTGAAAGGGACTGTATATACCTTCCTGAAAAACAGCAGACCACTCTAGGTAATGCCCATAGCCGTTTCCATTCCTAAAAACTTAAATCAAAATGAAAGAAAGGGGAGGGCCAGACCAGTGAGGGCTATATACTGCCAGACACCCTCCAGCTACAAATTGAGTTGCGTTCATGTGATCTGCGTCAGGTTCTAATGCTCACTGTGTGCAGTGAAATCAGAGTAAGCATTTTCAGTGCAGGACAGCAGTCTGTGTAACTGTGTACAACTGAAGGTAAGGCTGGAGGTTAGCTGTAACTGCAGTAGAAAAAGTCAGGTAAGTCAACCTGGACACATTGACCTTCTCAGGAAACAATGGAGAGAAATACAATTCCTTCAGTAGTTAAACAGTTCTCATATGTATTTCATCTCTGTATTTGGCGGTTTGCCTGGAGTTCAGCTATTAAGAACTTTGAGCTAACTGAAATACAGGACAAAAGTGTTAACTATATTCTGTTAACCAGGATGGTGGGGGGGGGGTTGTTTGAGGCTATGAATTATTATTTCTAGTTAGTACAAATGTGGGCAGCTTGAGTATATAAATTAGGTTTCACCACTGGAAGCCTCATATGCTGACATCCACCAGTGAGGAGAACTGATGATATGTTGCTTCTGCTACCTTCCAAGTTGTGCTGCTGTTATTGTAAATGGTATGACCGCCCTACTCCTAGCGACCGCCCTACTCCTAGTGAATGTGTGATAAGCATTTCAAAGCTTGGGACAATTCAATCCACTTCTCTCTGAATGTATCTAAAAGCACGCTTTCTCATGGATGAGTTTATTTGCTCATGACTCTGAAACCTGTATACACTTGCCTCTATCAAGAAATGCAGCTCTGCGCCTACGTTAAATGTCACCTTTTGATCAAAAATGAATAAATGCACATTTTATTGTAGGTAAAAAAATGTGCATTTATTATTGTTGGTTGCAGGAGCCAGCAAAGCATTGCACCAGTGATCAGTAGATTGCTGGTGCCATGCAGGTCTCCTGCAAACCTGTCAGTGTATCAGCTTGCCTGTATGGGACGTACAGGCAAGCAAATATACTAAAAGGAAAATTCAATGAACTACCACGGCGCTCCACAGTGCAGCGGCTGCAGCATTGGGAACATGTTACATGGTCCACCCTATAAACAGGTGGACCATGTAACATGTTCTCAAAGGTGAATGTATCTTAAGGCTAGGTTCAGGCTACTGCAGCTGTGATTTCATCCAATCATCAGTACAATTATATAGTGAAACCTGGTTGCATTTTTTGACACGATTTTAATGCCTCTGCATTTTCTGTTTGTCACAACAGATATGCTTATCATTGGCCAAGAGGAAAAAAGCACAGACATTGCTTCAAAAACACATCAGTTTGCACGTAGATGCATTTTTGTTGCACTGACGTCTATGGGGCCAAAAGTTGTACAGAACCCTTTTCCAAAATTTCACCATGCTGTACTGCATTGATGTGAACGGGCACCATTGAAAACAATGTGATTTCTATTCTCATGTGATTCTGTTTGACTCAGGTAGCATCTGAAGTCGCACTAGTGTGAGCCAGGCCTTAGTTTAGGAATACAAGCATTGTTAATGGGCCTTGACAGCTGGACCTGAGCACTAGTGCATTATAAAAACTAACCAGATCTGTGAGACCAACGTGGGCGGAATATGAATACAATGATATGGGTTAGGCTAGCCATGCAATTGCACATTTTTCTCAGCTCTTGGGCTGAACGACAGAAATCATTAAATTCCCCAATCCATGCTAAACAGCGTTGACGGTGGAATCTGCACTGTTGGCTATTATTTTTAGAAAGCCACAGCACTATTGGCTGTCTGAATGCCTGAACAGTAATTGTATGTAATAGGAACATTCGCTGTTTAGCCAACAATTTTCCACCCACATCCTTCGATTTTCAGTTGAAGTTTGCTGAGCTGTGGGGGTGATGACAGGGTCACCTGCTCAAATTTCACCTGATTCAGCTGGAATTCAGCCATGTATGGCCAGCCTTACTATAGATATTTGCATTTTTTACCTGTAGACCCATGGTACCTATTAGTCCAAAGAAACAAACTGGAATGGTTACTGTGAGGACTGCAAAATAAATCAGAAATCCCGACTCCCCATGAACACAGGTGCTGTGGTAGGGTGGCTATGCATGGCCTAATCATTGCTTGAGATAATTGGGAGAGGATGGGGAAAAAATGAAGGTTTCACTCCCTTTTCATCAGATACATTTGCCTATCTATACTCAGTCTTATGCTTAGGGAAATTCATTCTACATGAAGACTTGGAAAAATATAAGCAACTGTAGTATGAATGGTTCTAGGTGGTAACAAGGTGAGAATGTGCCTCTATATTGGAGGGGAGAGATGTATAGTGGTATTACCCGATGGGTATGCAGTGCAGTCAAGGCATAAGATGGGCTGTCAGAACACTGGGACTTAGTACAATGGATGGGTGTTACTATGGGAAGGTTCACAAAGCCACTATAATAATATGAGGGTTAGTGTAGCAGAGATGGTTTTTGGCTTACCAAAATGGAATGCATTCCCATATAAATACGACTAAGGCACACCAAGGAACACCAGCTCACGGCAAGCAGCAGCCCATAAACAAATGGATACTTGAGAGGGGGAAAAAAAAACAAAACAACTGTCAGTATAATTTCAAAACAGAAAATATTTGCCAATAACAAGCACATCTTCCTTAACCAACATTTAATGTCTACATGAGCATTACATAAGGAGGAGAGTAGTGCGATAACAAAATGATAATGAAGAAATCGGCTACATACAAAAGATCGTTTTTATATTTCCTGAACGTATTCATACAAAGACAGGGAATACACAGAGATCTATTTCTAAATGTTTTCACCCAGGATTCACACTTTTTTTTGTTCTGTCACATGTTCTGTCCCACTTTGTAATGTACATCGCTGAGCGAACTATTGGCGCTTTATAAATACTGTATAATAATAAATTAGAAAAATGTGTGAATCCTGGGTGAAAATTTAACGTGATTAATGTATGAATGTGGGTTAAAAAAAAAAAAAAAAAAAAAATGTATAAATAGACTCCATAGTGTTTTTTTTTGCGTATATTTTTTTAATACCTGAATGTTCTGCAAAGAGATAGAAACACCAGGTATGAAATATTTGCCTCTAAAACTAGGACACAAGCAATGAGAAAGACACATATCAAATGTACGTTTAAAATCCATTTGTTTTTCTTTTACGAGAAATTACAATAAGGCCTCGTTCACAGTGTATGCACAAAAAAGAGGATTGAAAAACTTCACAGATTTCCCTTGCAGAGACATGAGTTCACATCCGTTTTCATGTGCGTTTCATACACATTTCAGATTCCTGCACAGAAAAAATCCGCACGTGATACTAGTGTTGTGGTGTGAACAGGACATAAATGTTTTTATGGGGTTTTTTTTTGCCCTTGCAGAACACGTACAGAAAAACTCACATCTCTGCACATGGTGTGAACGAGGCCTAAGACATTGCATGGGTGCACTATAGTGAACAGCCATACGAGGTGTTCTATGCATCCCTTTTCAGGCAGTCCCACAGATGTCAATCAGGATGCAATGGCTGCAAGGACACAGCCAACCAATGTGACAGCTATGTGGGTGCACAGTCTCAATTGCACATTGAAAGCATTCGGGGCCATGCCCATGCATTGAGAGCAGCAACTGTTGCATCCTAATTGA